AATCAGTAAATGTAAGAGAGCAACGTTTGAAGAGAGACAGATATGTTTTGAAGATTTCTGTTGCTGTTGTGTTGGTATTCATAGTGTGCTGGATGCCTACCACCATCCGGATGTTACTAAGCTTCTATTCATCAGACAAAATTATGATATCATCTTGTAGTTTCCAATACTTCAAACATATTGGTTATTTTCTTGCTCAATCAAACTGTGCTATAAATCCTTGGATCTTTTTCATTTTCAGTGGAAATTATCGTCAGGGGCTTAAAAATATCCTCAGCTGTTTGTACAGGACTAATCGAGTTGAACTCCCTAAAGTTGAATTGAGGAACTATAGATGTAGCACTAACTTGTAAAAAACAAAGACTGAGAATCTAGAAGAAGAAAATAAAAATTCGAAAGAAAAGTAAAAGAAGAAGCAGGAGGAGAATTGAAAGAAATATAATAGCGTTTGATAAACTGGAGCTTGTAAAAACATTACAATAGTTTGGAGTGTAAATTAAAATTCATTTTTAAGCCATAGATGGTCATAGATGTGAATTAAGTGAATGATCTACTTCTCTGTACTATCCCATCTGATCTGGCTTTATTTTTACGAACTCAGAAATATGCTCATACTCAGACGGCCCCGAAGAGGACGGAGCAAAACAAAAGGTCTAATGAGTAGAACAAATAGCTCGGTACGTGCGTTTTAAAATTTCCTACATTTTTTTAGCTGTCCTCTGCAAAACATCAACGTGAAATGACCAAAAATTTGCGTTCACTGAGAACGGAAACCCCGACGGCAAATTTGGAACTCGACACCGCTCTCATACGTTATGTTGAAGTTGAGATGCGGCGCCGTTAGTGACGATAAACACATCTACCCATTTGTAGACTTCGCAAAACCCCAACTAAAAATATAAATTCATTTGTTAAACTACATGTTCTTGCCGCCAGGATTGTTTAAGGTTAAAACGTATTACGTTTTGAAATACAGCATGTAATCGAAGTTTCCCGATTCCAGTTCACATATTAAGATCTTTAGTGGTACGAATTGATGGTTTCAGTAATTTTTATTTTTCTCAGTGGTCATTTGGTTGTAAGACGTTTGTGAACTGAACACGTCAACGGAAAAAGACCCCCCATGGATGTTTGCATTGAAAACGCCGCCTAATTACTATGTCTTTTGAAAGACCTGCCGATGAAATGTGTCAAAGCCACGGTATTTACACATAATTTTTATGCACAGGGCTCAACCCTAGTTAGCAATTTGAATCTAATAAGCTTGTGCCTGATGGCACTTTCTTCACGAACTTCCCTTCAGCTGAGCGGATCATTTAAGTTTAGCGCCAACTGAAATGACTAGTGCTGGAAAAGATCAATCTTAGAAATTGAATTTCCATGTTCTTCTTGATTCATGTTGTGGCTGTTTTGAAATAACTTTTTAGTTAATAACAAACCTTTCATTCGCCCTATTTAACCACAAAAACAATAGCTACAAAACAACCTTACGGTAAATTATCTCTGTCATAATAACTTAATTAAGCGGTCTTTATCTTCAAACACCTTTGCATATTTCGAGACTACTTTTCGTGTAAACATTCCTTTTTGGGAATTTGCAACTGTCAGCTCAATTAATAAGTCACTTTCTATTTAACGAATTTCGAAATGCTTTTAACGGTGACAGCTTTTTAATCAAAGTATTCCGGCCATTTGTATCGTAAAGCCGCTCTGTAAAAATTTTGCATTTTCTTTCTTTCGATTTAAAAAGCATAATAGCAAATGGAGATAAATAGTTGACTTAAACGACTGCATAAGCTCATCAACCATATGTGCCTCGGCGAGTCCATGTAGTCAAAATGTAAACATCACCGAGCGGCAAATTTCAGTCTCCGCGGTAAAACCAAAGTACAGGTGATACGATTATCAAAGAAGAAAAAAAAGACGAAAGAGTGAAAAAAGAATAAATATCGGTTTCGATGAACCGTATCCCTGAGGTTGTTTTAGGCAAACGATAATTTCCCTTCTTTTAACCAATCTTTGGCTCTGAACCCAACTTTTAAAATAAGAACTGTATGAACAGACAAAGCAGCGTAATTTTGCTTGAATTAGTTAGTTTATATTGAAGTCCATTCAGACAGGAATACGCTTCTTGCTTTATGTCTTGTACATCTTTTCGGGGAGTTAATTTCACTAACTTGTTAATTTATTTTCGTCACCAAAACTCCCATAAAGTTTCTTGAGGTTAACAAGATTTTCCGTGATAAAAAATTAAGCTTTTATACCTGGCTTCTTATCTTCTTCTGATTTTTTGACATGCCGCTGAATGCAAATGAGCGATCAGTTTCAAGCGGGACCAATGAACTTCTTTATCATCATAGTTTTTAAAAACATCAAACTGACAATCGACAAAGTTCACCTTTGTTAAGGCCTATTTACACGGTACGACTTTGTCGCATGCGACAAGCTTACGACAGGCCTACGACATGACCTAGGACAATTTACACGCGCACGACATTTTCACCTACGACATGCCAAAATCGCGTGCAATTCCACTCGTTTCGGCCGCGGTCATTGTTTCAATAATTTGCAAGAGAAGGAAAAGAACCTCTTCCTCGCTCCGCAGTGATATCATTCTCTGTTTCCTCATCTGAGAATGTATTTTTCGCTTTTGAAGCAGTCTTCGACTTTCAGGAGGCGACTTCCTCCGCCATTTTGACGCAAGAAAATTTCGCCTTCCTCCCCTACTCAGTAGAAATTTATCACAAAATACGTCATTTTCTATCAATTTCGGCTACGATTGTCGCAGCGTTTTAAAACATGTTTTAAAATCCTACGACATTTTTCGTGACGTGCACGACAGTCGTAAGGGAGTGGTAGGTTTGATTTACACGATACAATTCGTGTCGTAGGCCTGTCGTAAGCTTGTCGCATGCGACAAAGTCGTACCGTGTAAATAGGCCTTTATTCAACTAAGAACTTTTAATAAAAAGATATTTTTTTACTGTAAACTTGACTTTCCTTAAGTTCTGATTAAAACGGTCAGTACGAAATTTATCCTTGATTGCGACTGATGAGCATTTTATAGTGCGGGGCTTAGCTACGGCGGCGCAACCTGATTAGCCCTTAGCGCTATGGAGAAGCAAATGAAGAGATTTTTAGGACCCTGGCGGTAATGTCCAATGGAAATAAAACAAATGCAGAGGTTTACAGCACAGTATGAGTACATCAAAAATCGGACAATCTCCGTGAAATATTAAAATCCACAAGACCATATCACTGTTTTGTCTGATGAATAGATAATATTATTTTTTCCATCAGAAGCATTTGGGAAATTTCCATACAATTACACGAGAGCGAATTTCCGACACAGATGACTTTATTTCACAGATCTGACATTTTCTCGATTCTGAGGGCCAAAGTGTAAAGGAAAAAGACATTTTTAAAATTCGTCCCCCATTATGCTTCATGAAAACTGGGTGTTATCTGAAGCCTGTAGTAAGAAGTGATTAAGTTCCGTCTGTCTTTATTTGAACATGTTCATATCTTTTCGTCTGTCTTTATTTAATTTGAATATGTTTATATTATATATGAAATCTTAATCAGAATTATAGGGGGGTAAAGTGTAAAAGAATCCGTGATCTCTTTCATCTCATTAACTAGTCATCATTTCTCGACAATCTTGTACTAAATAAGTGAGCCATGGAACATTGGCAGCCCTTTCTCTTCTTTCAATTAGGAAATATAAAAAGAAACTACGTCCAAAGAAACCTCTGCGTGCCATCTTTTATGCGCCTGCCTCCTCGCCTGTCTTTGCTGACTGTAAGCCTCCAAGACAAGGAAACTTTATTTACTAAATGTTACTTATCGACATAAAGAAAAGAGATCTGACAGACGTCATTAAGCGGACTCTTTTTGAACAGAATTGTTTAATCAGTAGCAAGAGAATATTAAATGTTTATATTCTGTTGTCAGTAGCTTTCCTCTTTCGGATATTTTTCCACCCACAATATACGATTGAGAGAATCAAATATTTGATAATTGCGTCAGGATGTCGTCAGCATATCGTATCCTATTTTTGAAACTCCATGTAAGTGTTTGCTAATGTTTTACCAGTATGAGCACCTGTTTGAACAAACGAGGCCAAATGAAAAACTTTCTCAAATTGTATTCTTACCAGAAGTAAGCAATATATGATGCACAGTAAATGTTTCCTCACGAAACATAGAAAATCTAGAAAATTTGGATTAATACATCTGATATGGTCATATCTAAGATAAAGTGATTGATAAAATGATAAGTTTCTCCGTGTTCTGTAGAGTATTTATAATATAATCCAAATGAAGATGATATTCTATATCCGACAGGAATTAAAACCCTTTCTAATGCACATGACTGTAGATTTTATCAGATACTCCTTGATTAACATGTTTTATTCATAGTTGTTTCTAATGCAACGTTGACAGGATTCCTTAATGCATAACAACGGTTCACCCCTAGGAAAAAAATGTTTTTACGGCAACAGATTTGTTTCTAAACCCTTAAGTGTGGATGTTCTTTACTTTTCATAATGATGTATTTAATTTAGTTTCAGTTCAGTTTACAAACAATTCTTATTATATTCCAAAGCGGCTGCCATGATACATTGCATCTTTATTAGCCCTGGCAACTCACTCAGCAGCCGAGGAGATTGTTAAGACCTTGGCGATAATTTCCACTGAAAATAAAACAGATGCAGGGGTTCATAGCGCTATTTGTTCGACTCAGTAGCAGCGCAACTTGCTCTAATAACTGTTTGAATCCACAGGACATTGTAGCATTGTTTTCATCTGCAAACATACGTACTAATGCAAAAATACTGAATGGAATCCAGCATACAGCGAAACCTAACACAATAGCAATGGAAAGCTTCAGCGCATTTCTCTCCCTTCTCAAGCGCTGAATTTGAGCGTTCATTGAGTGTTCGCCTGGTCCTCTCTGGGACTTCAGTTTCAAAAAAATGGCAAGATATAGAATAAACATCAGAACGAAGGGAATATAAAAAATGTAATAAAAAGTGCCATAAAGTATTTTGTCACCGACGAGGAATCGTCAAAAACACGCATCCATTGCCGCACACACTTGTACTCATGATCATATTCGACCAGCTTGAACGCGAGCAGATACGGGATGAATGTAGCCATGGCGATGATCCACGTGGCGAGAATAAAGAAGCGATACAATTTTGAACTGAAGAGCGGAGAACGGAGGGGAAATACCACAGCTACAAATCGATCCACTGCTATGAGCACAAGGCTCTGAATTGACACAGCAGAGGAGAGATCGGCTGAAAAAGGAGCGAGCTTACACAAAACCTCGCCAAGATGGCCTCCAATGGGCCAATCATCGTCATGTATCTCTATTACAGTTTTCGGGATCAAGAATATTGGGAACAGTAGGTCTGACATAGCCATGTTCACAATTAGATAGTTGATGGGTTTTCGCATGGTTTTTGTCTTGTAAACAATTATTCCAATAAAGGAATTTCCAACCACAGAAATAATAAATATTACGCAGTAAGCAATTGTGTGCCCAATCCTCAATGCTGTGGGATTATAGCAGTTCGACGGCTGAGTTGCATTCATTGTTGCGCTCAAGTTCGTGGACATTTCGAAGACGCGTTCTTCAGTCACAGTTAAAGTCAAGTATTATCTTATGGAAGTCACAAACACCTCTATTTGTATTACCGCTTGCTGTGGAAGTGATGTGAAAATTTGAATATTTTATTTTGATGATGCACACTGAAACCAATTATTTGAGGTCTTTATTTGGGTTTGTTGTCATAGATCACGAAATTTTGTTTGTATTTTCCAGTTAATAGCTGTTTTTTTTAAAATTGCCGTCGGCAACTATGGTGGAGCCGGAAAGAAGGAGAAATCTAGAAGAAAGTTTCACAGTTTTCTACGTTATCACCCGCTAATTCGTTACCAGTCCACGGGACACTTTTAAGACAAAACAAAAAGCGCTTTAGGGCCTGAAAAAAAACGAGTTCTAAGTTTTTTTGAAATTTTTCTCTTATGGGAATTGGTTTGTACACATAATAAGCTAAATATTTACGCCAAAAAAATTTCGTGTCATGGGCACTTTAACTCTAATTACTTAGAATTCTTTAACTCATTTCGGCAGGTGAAAAAAGAAATTGTAAAAGGGATGTTTGAATTTTTAAATTGTTTGGGTTTGTTGTCATGGATCATGTCTTAAAGTGCCTGTGACGCGAAATTTTTTTTTTGCATTTTCCGGTTAATAGCTGTTTTTAAAGTTAGAAATAATCGACCTTAGCGCCTAGAGAGTTCTCCTTGACCAATTCTTTTTGTGCATTCAAAGTACGATTTGGCGGCCAAAAAGTATCGCCATTAAGCGCGCGGCCAAAACGATCATATTACATAGCTGTGACGTAGAAAACGTCGGCAACTATGGTGGAGCCGGAAAGTAGGAGAAATCTAGAAGAAAGTTTGACAGTTTTCTACGTTATCACCCGCTTATTCGTTACCAGTCCACGGGACACTTTTAAGACAAAATAAAACCACTGAGTGATTATCACTCATGAAGCATGATGAAGCACTCTTTACTTTAAGTGTTTGGGGTTAGCCTTTCAAAAGCTGCGTTCTAGCAAAACTCTCAGTAATGAAAGTCAATTTCAAAACATCAGCATAATCTATCAGGAAGGGATTGCAGTTTTCCGCCGACAATGAATTCTCATTTAAGTTCGTGGTTAAATCGACGTCGTGCATGTGCGTAAAACAAGGATCGCCGTATTTTTTTCGAGTAAACGCCCTTGGTGCTTAATACATTTTTAGACTTTCAGAGTAACCGCGTATTCGAGGAGGGCGCTTTTGTGATTTACTTCATTTTCAGCAAGTATTTAGTTTATTTCGTCACAAAATGATAAATAATAACAATACGTGAAGATGTACCATAGTCAATGAATTTCGAGATTGTAAGGAAATATTGAATAAGTTATACTCCTCTTAGAGGATCTCAATCGGGTTAACCGTTAGGCATAAAACGGCCTAAAAGTTTAGCCGTTAGGCGGAAAAATTGGCAAATTTTAACCTTTAGTCGCAAAAAAAATGAACAGTAAAAATTTTCTTAATAATCACAAAGAAAGGAAGTTAACCGCTAGCCGTAAAATGGCCGACATTTTACCCGTTAACCATCGCCTTCTGAAGAGCCTTCTCCTATACACCACGATTTTTTTTTGCAAGCAGGGGGGTGGGGAGGGGGAAGCAGAAGTAGAGGGGAGGGCCCATAATCGAGGTGAGGCGTCAATCCAATAAATACGGAACTTGTGAGGAATAACCGTAATAACAATTTAGCTTATGAGAGAAAAACCAGTCCGCATAGCTTTTTTTGATGTTATTTATTTCATCTTGGATTTAAATCAGACTTTATTTTTCTCATCTAATTATAGCAGCTTATTGATCGAAAAAAGTCTTTCATTTTACAGGCTGAGTCTGAAATATTTAAAATGATTGTTATATAAACATTAAAGTCGGAAATCCTGAAACCACAGTTCAAACAACTATTGGGGCGTTTGAAGGAAACTAGCTTGCATGAGCAAACTGGACGGAAGGTACCAAGAATTGTGCTCACGGAAGCTTCTTCTTTAATCAATTACGCGTTGCCGCTACAACGTTTACAGTATTCCCTTTCTGATTAACTCCAACTCTAAAGCTTCTTCAGTTGAAAATACATACGGGCTGTCTTTTTTCGGGTACCAAGTCAAAAATTTCAGAAGCAATATAGCGAGGCTCTTCTAAAAGGGATTACGAACAGTTTCAACAAGTCAGAAAGAGATGGCCAGAGTTGTAAAATGTGGAAAGTTTGCTGTCACCAAACAGTAAATCAGTTGATGGATGGGTTTCGCTGCACCAACTACTTCATAAGTGTAGTTATTAGAGAGCTTGAGCATCGACGGCAGACGCGGACGGCAGCCGCAAGTTAAAAGTTCTTATTCCTTACGGTCGATGAATTAGTATCAAATCGCGCCAGGTTTTAGTTTTACTCTTTCTCCTGTTGCTGCCCGCGTCTCAAAAATTTCTCTGCTCAAATTCTCTATAAATAGGGATAAAGAAACGGCGGGCATGTTCAGCCACATCAATGCGCGGATAAATCCAAACAGCATGCAGAAGGCTGGGGAGAAAACGATAACTAAGCAGCTTCGCCTGTGGAAAACAACCGAAGAGATTCTTGAGACCTTGACGATAATTACCACTGAAGATAAAACAGATGCAAGGATTTACAGCACAGTACGAGCGCGCCATAAGAAAGGCAATAATTTTAAAGTATTCCATGCCACAAGATGACCTCATAGCCATGTTTGATGAATAATGGAACAGCAAGGCGTAGATGCTGAGTGGCAACCAGCATACGGCGAACACCAGGACAATGGCAACGGACATATTAAGAACATTTCTTTCTTTCTTCAAACGCCGTTCTCTTGCGTTAGCTGATTGCTTCCCTGGAATCTTCTGCGATTTAATTTTTAAGGAAATGACAAAATAAAGTATGGAAATCAAAACCAAAGGGACATAGCTGGTAACAACGATCAATCCCAGTATGTAGGTTTGCTGCGATAGGAACTCTCCAAATATGTCATTCCGCTGCCACCGACAAAACAGCCCTTCTGAATACTCAAGAACTTTAAAGGCGATCAAATATGGGCAATGGACTGCCATGGCGACGATCCAAATGACGAGAATGAAGTACCGGCACTGCTTTGAACTGATCAGTGGGGAACGGAGAGGAAATACTACAGCTACAAATCGATCCACTGCGATCAACAACAGGCTCTGAATTGACACTAGAGTTGAGACATCTGCAGCGAAGGAACTCAGTTTACACGCCGCATGGCCAAGGGGACCGCCAACCAGCCAGTGGCCGGCCGTGTTTAACTCTACAAAAATTTTAGGAAAGAGGAAAATCGGGTACAACAGATCGGAGAGTGCCATGTTTACTATCAAAATGTTGATTGGTGTTCTCAGAGTTTTCGTCCTATAGACAATTATTCCAATGAAGGTATTCGCAGCCAGCGACACAACAAATAGCAGACAGTAGGCGAAGGTTCCTCCAATTCTTGTCGCTGTGGGGTTGAAGCAGCTCGACATGGACTGTGTTCCATTCACCATTGCTGTCACGTTTGCAGACATTTTTCGATACCAAGAGATCAGGTTTTTCTTCAGCCAACAGCCTTGCGGTGGGTACCTAAACTCGACTGGATGAAAACACAGCCTATCCGTCTTATATAGATGAAACTTTCACATGTTTAATCAATGAACATACCTAGGAAAATTCTAGAAAATTGACAGTCTTCACCTGAGACCTCTAACTAAGAAAAGTATGGTTGGAATCAGCTGTTGTCCGAAATTAAGCAATCGATATGCTTTTTCAAATATTGTCGGCAAAAGGGACAATTTTCTCAAGTTTATAAGCAGGAGCCCATCTTATATGAGTTTATATAATCATTATCAATATTGTTCCAATGGCTCCAGAAATAGCCCAGCCGCAGATGTTTACTGATATAGAATAACGGTTGACAGCTGGTAGCGAAAAGATCTACAATCTTCTTTTCAATTCAGAATTTATTTTTAATTATGTTGCCATCGAAAGTTTAATCCAGCCTCGAACTTACTGATTAGTCTTGTTGCTTAGTAAACTTATTGGAGTATTAAAGAAAATTTTCACGAAGTCGTAACAAAAAGGAAGGGTACAGGACAATATAAGGCCGACTTCTTATGTGCGATAAAAAATGGTATGGCTTCATAAGTCTTCTTTTCAATTCAGAATTTATTTTTAATTATGTTGCCATCGAAAGTTTAATTAGCCTGAGCTTGTTGCTCAGTAGACTGGTTGGAGCTTTAAAGAAAACTGTCACGAAGTTGTAATAAAAGGGAAGGAAACAGCCGGAACAAAGCCGATTTCCTATATGCGAGAAAAATGGTATGGTTTCATAAGTCACCAGGAGAACTTGTAATAATTTAACAAATTTACATGACAGAATTCATATGGCTTACGATGTAAATTTTTCCTTTAATCTTGTTTCTGTATTCGAGCAAAGATGATATCTCCGTTGCTTTAACCGACTTAAACGATCGCATACACTCATTAACCTTCTGTGCCTCGGCGAGGCCATCTATTCAAAATGTAAACATCGTTGAGCAACAAAATTCAGTCCCCGCGGTAAAACCAAAGTACAGGTGATATGACTATCAAAGAAGAACAAAGGGACAAAAGAGTAAAAAAGGATAAATATCGGTTTCGATGAACCGTATCCCTGAAGTTGTTTTAAGAAAAGGATAACTTTCCTTTCTTTAACCAAGCTTTGGCACTGAGTAGTTCTCGGGGGGCTACCTTTAGTCTCAATAAACAAAACAAAGCTGATTACTGACAAATACCTTTCATTTACTTTCTTTAGTCCAACTTCTTTTACTGAGTTGGATTTAGTTTTCCATGAGGAACAGATCCAAATGATTTTTCCCATAGTAAAAACCCCTTTCCTTACTCGCTTATTAACTTTTTCCTGTCTTTATTTTGTATTTTGTTATTTTATAAAAGCTGTAAGCAAAGTTGAATTCGATTCTCTTTCCCTCAGTAACTGGATTTAAGTAGCTCGTTACCTGTGTTCCATTCATCGTTGCGATCACATTGCCGACATTCAGCCAACAGCTCTGAACGCTCTTTTTTTAAGTGAACGCAGTGATGATTTGCATAGATATTATTATTGTTCTAAATTGCATACGTTAGCTTCTCCAGAAATTTAAGAATATCGACAGATGTACCTGAACCTTCATTTTGATTAGCAGATGAAAGAGTTGGGAATGATCTCATTTGGATAATTCTACTTTAAATAGAAATATCATTGGCTTCAGGAAAGTTTTAGAAAGTTCCATTTTCTCAGTCTATTTTCTTGTCTTGACGTCTATGTAAACAGCTGGTAATTACAACATTCAGTTTAAGGAAAGGAGAGACTTCCCTGAGAATTTATTAGTCATCGCATTTTTTATTTTGTTTCGTAAAAAATTAGCTGTAGAGAAGCGATACTACCTCGTGGAAAGAATCTGCCACAAAATAACATGCATGTCCTTATTTATAAACATCTTTGTTAATTGCTACAGTATTTTCGGCGTAAAACTGTAAAGGTTTTTGTACGCTTTCAATACGTATCATAAATTTGTGCTTCAGTTACTTGATGCTAATTCTTGTATTTTTTAATTGACCGCTTGTTTGCTTACTATTTTTGTACCAGACGATTGACGGATGTCAGTTTCCAAGCCAGAATGAGTCGTGAAAAACTAATATCAGCTAACAATCAAAGTGCTCTGTGAGCAAACTCGTGAATTGACACATGATTTTTTAGTCTATGTTTAATGTTATCTGGTTTAGGGAATTTTGTGGTTGATTGTCATATCTAGAGTACGAGCAGTAGTTCAGTGTTCGCTAATGTAGCAAAGAAACAAAGTAACGTTGGGATAAGAAGGCATTACAATTGAAATGATCATGCTAGTACATTTGACAAGGTGGATGATGTCATGTGTTTTAAACGTCTATCATTTTTGTTTCTGGTTCAAAATAAAAGGTTGGAAGTAAATGTGGGTGAAAAGTGAAATTTACTGTCTTTCGTTGTAAATATTAGAAAATCAAGGCAATACTGTCTTAATGAAAACATTAACGATTCCCTCTTTATCAAATGAGACAAACGGGAACGAGTTTTGAGTGATATAACTGAGCCAAGCCTGCCACCGTCATTTTGGATCTCCGCCTGGGTAGATTTAAGTCACGTGCTAGGCAACGTATAATCAATAACAAGATAGAATTTCATTTCAGGCCTATTTATCTATTTTGTGGTGTGTAACTTTCGCATTTTAGTACGTTGTATGTATGTTGAATCTTCAAATTGTCTTGAAACTGAAAAGAAAATTGTTCGTTAAAAATTCACTGAAAATCGGTAGCTAAAATTGTTTGTTTAGGTGTTATTTGATTTTCGTGTTAACTTGTTATTTCGTCAGTCGCCGGCACTTATGTTGGTTCACACAGGAAAAACACACGCGACGAAACGTAATGATCAATTTTGTCATCAATCTCACGCCATAACAGAAAAAGCTTTTGAACATCTGTAAACTCCGAACGCTTCGCAGTAAGTGATATTTTCAATGAATCTTCGGATTGTTTTCAAGTTCAAGGATTGTAAATTACAATTTTATGAAAAACGAAGGTTGTTCTGTTATTTCAGTGTGAATCCTTGCATGCCTGCCAGTCGCTGGCGCCGCTTGTTGAAACTAAAACGAAAAAAAAAAAACTCTTTAAGATTATCATTGGCTTCTTTTTCACCCCACCACTATTCTTAACAACAAAGGTCGCCATTTCGTTTGTTTATTGCTCGCCAAAAACTATCAAATGCACTCAAAAGCCTAAAATCTAAAAAAAGTTTACAGGAATCGACCAATCGAGCGAGCGAGCGAGCGAATGGCATTCCCCACATCGTATCTATAACTCGCTCTTGCGCATGCGCGCAATTCACGAGTTAAAAAGCGAGGAATGTGTGTGCGAGAACGGCCTGGATATTGAGGAGCGGGAAACGGGGAAAAAATGAAGTTAAAATGAAAGCTGGCTGTTTTCTTCCCCTGCGAGGCGTGATCTAAATTAAAAAGGCAATAAAACTTAAGCAAACGACTGGAAAGCAAAAACTGAAATAGCGTTATTTGTTGAATAACGTTTGACAGCTGGTTTCATGTGATGACAGCTTATAATAAGTGAAGGAAAATGTTGCAGAATGTAGTATGTAGTATGTTAAAGGATCACAGAGAAACCAAGAGATTCTTTTGAGAAAAAACTTATTAAACTGAAAAATTTAATTTTACCGTTTTCCGTTGCCATAAACGACCGCATAAACGCACTTATGTTAAGTGCTCTGGTGAGGTCATTTATTCAAGGTGTAAATATTACTGAGCGACAAATGTCATGCAGACCCCGAGGTAAAAGCAAATTACAAAGTGGAGGTGATATGAGTGCTAATGAAGGAATTGATGAAGTTTAAAAAGCGCAACATTTCTTTCAATTCTCGATCAATTTTGTTTTCTTAATTCAGTCAAACCCCAATGTCCCATGTACTTCTTTGATATCTCTTTTTATTTCTTATGCCAAAGAATAAACAGATGTTGTTCTTTCTATTGCTCTAAATATAATTTCATCCCTTCGTTTAAACCTATTTCAAGCACACTCATTCAAACAATAAGTTAACTTTCTTTTCATTGTGAAAAAAGAAGATTTTAATTATATGTTTTCTGGTATATATAACAAGGCGAGGTCGGGTTAATTTTTCGCGAACACAAAAGTCATGAAAGGGCTGTGGTTATGTAATATGTATTTTCTTTATTTACTGGATGCTACATGTGATCAATTCGATCTTAATTTTTTATCTGATCCTTTAACCCCTTGGAAAAATTTCAACGACAGCGCTCTACAAAAAGTGTTTACAAAATATGTACCTAGAATTATATATATCAAACGATCATTAAGCCATAATTATTCTAAATAACGGTTTAAGCCGTCATAAAAATTTTCTTAAAAATTCTTTGAGTTGCCAGTTAGGTATAGACACGAAGTCGTGCGGTCTGAAGTGACTTTTTCTAAGGAGTTTGAAGATCCTGGTTTATTTCAACTTCCTTAACCTGTCATTTTGAATTAATAAGTGCCAGAATACCAGTAGACAAGATATTTTATATATATATTTTTTAGCGGGGTCGATTGAGTTGTATCCCAATCTTTAAACTTCGTTCGTGACTATTCAAAAAAGGAGTTTCACTTCAAAGTCGTATTAATTAGCCCATTTCTGTTATATATCAGCAGTAAAGCTGACATATTGTGTACCTGCACCAGAAACATCGTAAGCTAGTGAGCGAACATGCAACAGCTCGGGGGCTCAAACTATAACATAGCATATGGGTCAACCAGAAAGAACTGCCAGCTGTCCAACTGTCAGCTTAATCAATAAGTCGCTTTCTGCTCAAAGACTTTCGAAATTCTTGTAACGGTGACAGCTTTTCAATCGACGTATTCCAGCCATTTATATCGTGTAAAGCCGCTCCGTAAAATATTTAGCATTTTCTCTCTTTCGGTTTAAAAAGCATCTAAGTCAACCAGAAAGAAATCAGCTAAAGAGACTCTTAAAGCCTTGATGATAATTTCCATAGAAAGCGAAACAGATTAGTGATGGTAATAAAACCGAGTGAAGTCTAATTCGGTCTGTAATCATACGAGGGATCGACTAAATCGAACGACTGCGAAGTGGGAGTCCGATTTGTTGATCACGAGTATGATTACAGATAGACTTGGAAGACAAGAAGTGAAAACAACAATTTTAGAGAAATTTATTTACATATAAAAGACGAAACACAAGTCATTTTAAGGAAGGTAGCTGAACGCAATGCGTGATATGAATCTAAAGGCACACATGAATAAAGCACATGATAGAATGGCGACTACCGAAATAGAATAATTTAGTGATGTTGAATGACAGTTGACAGCTTGTCTCAGAATCATCATGCATGAGAAAGAAGTTTTTCTAAAATAGAAAAGTTTAAGTGTGACGTTAACGGCAAATGGTATTGCAAAAGGCGACTATACCACGTTTTTCAGTCTACTTTCAGCTTTAATACCTGCCAGACAACTTTGGATTATTTCCGTCCAGCTAATGGCTATTATAATTTATATGTTAATAATCAGACTTTTTTCCATTAATTGAGTGAAGAAAACACTTATTTAAATAGAGTGTAAGAACCCACAAGAGAAGTGCAACCTGAGGAAGACACTCAGAATCTCTGAGCGTGTAAATTAAAAATTCATTTTTAAGCCATAGATGGTCATAGATGTGAATCAAGTTAATGAACCACTTCTCTGTACTTTCTCATCTGATCTGGCTTTATTTTTACGAACTCAGAAATATGATCATACTCAGACGGCCCAGACGAGAACGGAACAAACGAAGGATCTAATGGGTAAAACAAATAGCTCAGCACGTGCGTTTTAAAATTTCCTACATTATTTTAGCTGTCCTCTGCAAAACGTCATCGTGAAATGACCAAAAATTTGCGTCCACTGGGGACGGAAACCCCGACGGCAAATTTAGAATTCGACACCGCTCTCATACGTTATGCTGAAGTTGAGATGTGGCGCTGTAGGTGACGGTAAACATATCTACCCATTTGTAGACTTCGCAAAACCCCAACTAAAAATATAAATTCATTTGTTAAACTACATGTTCTTGCCGTTAGGATTGTTTAAGGTTAAAATGTATCACGTTTTGAAATACAACATGTAATCGTAGTTTCCCGATTCCAGTTCACATATTAAGATCTTTCGTGGTACGAATTGATAGTTTCAGTAATTTTTATGTTTCTCAGTGGTCATTTGGTTGTAAGAAGTTTGTGAACTGAGCACGTCAATGGAAAAAGACCCCCTATGGATGTTTGCATTGAAAACGCCACTTAATAACTGTCTTTTGAAAGACCTCCCGATGAAATATGTCGGTATTGACACATAATTTTTATGCACAGGGCTCAACCCGAGTTAGCAATTTGAATCCGATAAGCTTTTGCTTGATGGCGCTTTGTTCACGAAACTTCCCTTCAGCTGAGCGGATGATTTAAGTTTAGCGCTAACTGAAATGACTAGTGCTGGAAAAGATCAATCTTAGAAATTGAAGTTCCATGTTCTTCTTGATTCATGTTGTGACTGTTTTGAAATGACTTTTTAGATAATAATAAACCTTTCATTCGCCCTATTTAACTACAAAAACAATAGCTACAAAACAACCTTACGGTAAATTATCTTTGTCATAATAACTTAATTAAGCGGTCTTTATCTTCAAACACCTTTGCATATTGCGAGACTACTTTTCGTGTAAACATTCCTTTTTGGGAATTTCCAACTGTCAGCTCACTTTCTATTTAACGAATTTCGAAATTCTTTTAACGGTGACAGCTTTTTGATCAAAGTATTCCGGCCATTTGTATCGTAAAGCCGCTCTGTAAAAATTTTGCATTTTCTTTCTTTCTATTTAAAAAGCATAATAGCAAATGGAGATAAATAGTTGACTTAAACGACTGCATAAGCTCATCAACCATATGTGCCTCGGCAAGTCCATGTAGTCAAAATGTAAACATCGCCGAGCGGCAAATTTCAGTCTCCGCGGTAAAACCAAAGTACAGGTGATATGACTATCAAAGAAGAACAAAAAGACGAAAGAGTAAAAAAAAGAATAAATGTCGGCCTCGATGAACCGCATCCCTGAGGTTGTTTTAGGCAAACGATAATTTCCTTTCTTTTAACCAATCTTTGGCTCTGAACCCAACTTTTAAAATAAGAACTACATGAACAGACAAAGCAGCGTAATTTTGCTTGAATTAGTTAGTTTATATTGAAGTCCATTCAGACAGGAATACGCTTCTTGCTTTATGTCTTGTACATCTTTTCGGGGAGTTAATTTCACTAACTTGTTAATTTATTTTCGTCACCAAAACTAAAGTTTCTTGAGGTTAACAAGATTTTCCGTTATAAAAAATTAAGCTTTTATACCTGGCTTCTTATCTTCTTCTGATTTTTTGACATGCCGCTGAATGCAAATGAGCGATCACTTTCAAGCGGGACCAATGAACGTCTTTATCATCATAGTTTTTAAAAACATCAAACTGACAATCGACAAAGTTCACCTTTGTTATTCAACTGAGAACTTTTACTCAAGGGATATTTTTTTACTGTAAACTTGACTTTCCCTAAGTTCTGATTAAAACGGTCAGTACTAAATTTATCCTTGATTGCGACTGATGAGCATTTTATAGTGCGGGGCTTAGCTACGGCGGCGCAACCTGATTAGCCCTTGGCGCTATGGAGAAGCAAATGAAGGGATTTTTAGGACCCTGGCGGTGATGTCCAATGGAAATAAAACAAATGCAGAGGTTTACAGCACAGTATGAGTACATAAAAAATCGGACAATCTCCGTGAAATATTAAAATCCACAAGACCATATTACTGTTTGTCTGATGAATAGATAATATTCCTTTTTCCATCAGAAGCATTTGGGAAATTTTCATACAATAACACAAGAGCGAATTTCCGACACAGATGACTTTATTTCACAGATCTGACATTTTCTCGATTCTGACGGCCAAAGTGTAAAGGAAAAAGACATTTTTAAAATTCGTTCCCCATTATGCTCTATGAAAACTTGGGTGTCATCTGAAGCCTCTAATAAGAAACGATTAAGTTCTGTTTGTCTCTATTTGAACATGTTTATATCTTTTCGTCTGTCTTTATTTAATTTGAATATGTTTATATCACTGTCATGTATGAAATCTTAATTAGAATTATAGGGGGGGGGGGATAAAGTGTTAAAGAATCCGTGATCTCTTTCATCTCATTAACCAATCATGATTGCTCGACAATCTTGTACTATATAAGTGTAAATCCAAAAGATTTTTCCCCATGGTAAAAACTCCATCCTTACTCGCTTATCAATTTTTTCCCAAAAAAGTCACTTCAGACCGCACGACTTTTAGGGAAATTTACATGAATGCTTAAACCGTTATTTTGAATAGTTATGGCTTAATGATCGTTTGATACATATAATTCTAGTTACATATTTTTAAACATGTTTTTTTAGACTGCTGTCGTTGAAATTTTCCCAAGAGGTAAAAGGACCGGATAAAAAATAAGATCGAATTGATCGCATGTAGCCTCCACTTAATTAAGACAAAACAAAGTAAGACAAAACAAAGTACGTAACCACAGCTCTTTCATGACCATTGTGTTCGCGAAAATTTAACCCGTCCGCGCCTTGTTATACCCGAAAACATATAATTAAAATCCTCTTCTTTAACAATTAAAAGCAAGTTAACAGATTGTTTGAATGAGTGTGCTTGAAATGGTTTTTAAACGAAGGGATCAAAATATATTTAGAGCAATAGAAAGAATTACATCTGTTTATTCTTTGGCGTCAGAAATAAAAAGAGATATCAAAGAAGTACATGGGACATTAGGGTTTGACTGAATTAGGAAAAAAAATTGATCGAGAATTGAAAGAAAGTTTGCGCTATTTAAACTGCATGACATTTGCCACTCAGTAATATTTACACCTTGAATAAATGACCTCACCAGAGCACTTAACATAAGTGCGTTTATGCGGTCGTTGATGGCAACGGAAAACAGTAAAACTAAATTTTTCAGTTTACTGGGTTTTTCTCAAAAGAAACTCTTGGTTTGTCTATAATCCTTTAAAATACTGTGCACTACATCTTGGAACATTTTCCTTCAATACTATAGGCTGTCATCACACGGACCAGCTGTCAAACGTTATTCAACAAATAACGCTATATCAGTATTTGCTTTCCAGTCATTTGCTTAATTTTATTGCCTTTTTAATTCAGATCACGCCTCGCAGGGGAAGAAAATAACAAAATACAAAATAAAGACGGTATATACATTACTGAGTTGGATTTACTTCTGCATGAGGAACAGATCCAAAAGATCTTTCCCACAGTAAAAACTTCTTTCCTTATTCGCTTATTAACTTTTTTCCTGTCTTTATTTATTTATTTTATATTTTATAAAAGCTGTTGGCAAAGTTGAATCCGATTCTCTTTCCCTCAGTAACTGGATTTAAGCAGCTCGGTACCTGTGATCCATTCATCATTGCGGTCACGTTCACCGACATTCGATATCCTATTTCGATATCCTATCCTTAGCAGATACTACTTGATTAATATATTTTATTCATAGTTGTTTCTAATGCAACGTTGACAGAATTCCTTAATGCATATCAACGGTTCACCCCTAGGAAAAAATGTTAATACGGCAACAGATTTGTTTCTAAACCCTTAAGTGTGGATGTTCTTTACTTTTCATAATGATGTATTTAATTTAGTTTCAGTTCAGTTTACAAACAATTCTTATTATATTCCAAAGCGGCTGCCATGATACATTGCATCTTTATTAGCCCTGGCAACTCACTCAGCAGCCGAGAAGATTCTTAAGACCTTGGCGATAATTTCCACTGAAAATAAAACAGATGCAGGGGTTCATAGCGCTATTTGTTCGACTCAGTAGCAGAGCAACTTGCTCTAATAACTGTTTGAATCCACAGGACATTGTAGCATTGTTTTCATCTGCAAACATACGTACTAATGCAAAAATACTGAATGGAATCCAGCATACAGCGAACCCTAACACAATAGCAATGGAAAGCTTCAGCGCATTTCTCTCCCTTCTCAAGCGCTGAATTTGAGCGTTCATTGAGCGTTCGCCTTGTCCTCTTTGGGACTTCAGTTTCAAAAAAATCGCAAGATATAGAATAAACATCAGAACGAAGGGAATATAAAAAAATGCAATAAAAAGTGCCATAAAGTATTTTGTCACCGACGAGGAATCGTCAAAAACACGCATCCATTGCCGCACACACTTGTACTCATGATCATATTCGACCAGCTTGAACGCGACCAGGTAAGGGATGAATGTAGCCATGGCGATGATCCACGTGGCGAGAATAAAAAAGCGGTACAATTTTGAACTGAAGAGCGGGGAACGGAGGGGAAATACCACAGCTACAAATCGATCCACTGCGATCAGCACAAGGCTCTGAATTGACACAGCAGAGGAGAGATCGGCTGAAAAAGGAGCGAGCTTACACAAAACCTCGCCAAGATGGCCTCCAATGGGCCAATCATCGTCATGTATCTCTATTACAGTTTTCGGGATCAAGAATATTGGGAACAGTAGGTCTGACATAGCCATGTTCACAATTAGATAGTTGATGGGTTTTCGCATGGTTTTCGTCTTGTAAACAATTATTCAAATAAAGGAATTTCCAACCACAGAAATAATAAATATTACGCAGTAAGCAACTGTGTGCCCAATCCTCAACGCTGTGGGATTATAGCAGTTCGACGGCTGAGTTGCATTCACTGTTGCGCTCAAGTTCGTGGACATTTCGTAGACGCGTTCTTCAGTCACCGTTAAAGTCAAGTATTATCTTATGGAAGTCACAAACACCTCTATTTGTAGTACCGCTTGCTGTGGAAGTGATGTGAAAATTTGAATATTTTATTTTGATGATGCACACTGAAACCAATTAGTTAAGGTCTTTATTTGGGTATGTTGTCATAGATCACGAAATTTTGTTTGTATTTTCCAGTTAATAGCTGTTTTTAAAATTGCCGTCGGCAACTATGGTGGAGCCGGAAAGAAGGAGAAATCTAGAAGAAAGTTTCACAGTTTTCCACGTTATCACCCGCTAATTCGTTACCAGTCCACGGGACACTTTTAAGACAAAATAAAAGCCCTTTAGGGCCTGAAAAAACTGAGTTCTAAGTTTTTTGAAATTTTTCTTTTATGGGAATTGGTTTGTACACATAATAAGCTAAATATTTACGCCAAAAAAATTTCGTGTCATGGGCACTTCAACTCTAATTACCTAGAATTCTTTAACTCATTTCGGCAGGTGAAAAAAAGAAATTGTAAAAGGGATGTTTGAATTTTTAAATTGTTTGGGTTTGTTGTCATGGATCATGTCTTAAAGTGCCTGTGACGCAAATTCTTTTTTTCATTTTCCGGTTAATAGCTGTTTTTAAAGTTAGAAATAACCGACCTTAGCACCTAGCGAGTTCTCCTTAACCAATTTTTTGTGCATTGAAAGCACGATTTGGCGGCCAAAAAGTACCGCCATTAAGCGCGCGGCCAAAACGATCATATTACATAGCTGCGACATAGAAAACTGTGAAGACACGTCGGCAACTATGGTGGAGCCGGAAAGTAGGAGAAATGTAAAAGAAAGTTTGACAGTTTTCTACGTTATCACCTGCTAATTCGTTACCTGTCCACGGGACACTTTTAAGACAAAATAAAACCACCGAGTGATTATCACTCATTAAGCATGATGAAGCACTCTTTACTTTAAGTGTTTGGGGTTAGCCTGTCAAAAGCTGCGTTCTAGCAAAACTCTCCGTAATGAAAGTCAATTTCAAAACATCAGCGTAATCTATCAGGATGGGATTGCAGTTTTCCGCCGACAATGAATTCTCATTTAAGTTCGTGGTTAAATCGACGTCGTGCATGTGCGTAAAACAAGGATCGCCGTATTTTTTCGAGTAAAGGCCGTGAGCGCTTAATACATTTTTAGACTTTCAGAGTAACCGCTTATTCGAGGAGGGCGCTTTTGTGATTTATTTCATTTTCAGCAAGTATTTAGAAGTTTTTCAGCAAGTATTTTAGAAGTTTCACGGAAGCTTCTTCTTTAATCAATCACGCGTTGCCGCTACAACGTTTACAGTATTCCCTTTCTGATTAACTCCAACTCTAAAGCTTCTTCTTTAATTTATTACACGTTGCCGCTACAACGTTTACAGTATTCCCTTTCTGATTAACTTCAGCTCTAAATTTTTTCTTTAATTTATTACGCGTTGCCGCTGGCGTGTGTTTTAAGGAGATCCCACATTATCTCAACAACGTCTATTGTCACTTTGCCTGACCAATTGAAAATACGTACGGGCTGTCTTTTTTCGGGTGCCAAGTCAAAAATATCAGAAGCAATATGGCGAGGCTCTTCTAAAAGGGATTACGAACAGTTTCAACAAGTCAGAAAAAGATGGCCAGAGTTGTAAAATGTGGAAAGTGTACTGTCACTAAACAGTAAATCAGTTGATGGATGGGTTTCGCCGCACCAACTACTTCGTAAGTGTAGTTATTAGGGAGCTTAAGCATCAACGGCAGACGCAGACGGCAGCTGCAAGTTAAAAGTTCTTATTTCTTACGGTCGATGAATTAGTGTCAAATCGCGCCAGATTTAGTTTTATTCTTTCTCCTGTTGCTGCCCGCGTCTCAAAAATTTCTCTGCTCAAATTCTCTATAAATAGGGATAAAGAAACGGCGGGCATGTTCAGCCACATCAATGCGCGGATAAATCCAAACAACATGCAGAAGGCTGGGGAGAAAACGATAACTAAGCAGCTTCGCCTGTAGGAAACAACCGAAGAGATTCTTGAGACCTTGGCGACAATTACCACTGAAGATAAAACAGATGCAAGGATTTACAGCACAGCACGAGCGCGCCAGAAGAAAGGCAATAGTTCCAAAGTATTGCATGCCACAAGATGACCTCAGCCATGTTTGATGAATAAAGGAACAGCAAGGTGCAGATGGTGAGTGGCAACCAGCATACGGCGAACACCAAGACAATGGCAACGGACATATTAAGAACATTTCTTTCTTTCCTCGAACGCAGTTCTCTTGCGTTAGCTGATTGTTCCCCAGGAATCTTCTGCGATTTAATTCTTAAGGCAATGGCAAAATAAAGTATGGAAATCAAAACCAAGGGGATATAAACGGGAACAACGATCAATCCCAGTATGTAGGTTTGCAGCGATAGGGACTCTCCAAATGTGTCATTCCACTGCCACCCACAAAACAGCCCTTCTGGATACTCGACAGCTTTCAGGGCGATCAAATATGGACAATAGACTGCCGTGGCGATGATCCAAATGACGAGAATGAAGTACCGGCACTGCTTTGAACTAATCAGTGGGGAACGGAGAGGAAATACTACAGCCCCAAATCGATTCACTGCGATCAACAACAGGCTCTGAATTGACACTAGAGTTGAGACATCTGCAGCGAAGGAACTCAGTTTACACACCGCTTGGCCAAGGGGACCGCCAACCAGCCAGTAGCCGGCCGTGTTTATCTCTACAAGAATTCGAGGAAAGTGGAAAATCGGGTACAACAGATCAGAGAGTGCCATGTTTACAATCAAAATGTTGATTGGTGTTCTCAGAGTTTTCTTCCTATAGACAATTATTCCAATGAAGGCATTCGCAGCCAGCGACACAACAAATAGCACACAGTAGGCGAAGGTTTGACCAATTCTTGTCGCTGTGGGGTTGAAGCAGCTAGACATGGACTGTGTTCCATTCACCATTGCTGTTACGTTTGTAGACATTTTTCGATACCAAGAGATCAGGTTTTTCTTCAGCCAACAGCCTTGCGGTGGGTACCTAAACTCGACTGGATGAAAACACAGCCTATCCATCTTATATAGATGAAACTTTCACATGTTTAATTAATGAAAATACCTAGGAAAATTCTAGAAAATCGACAGTCTTCACCTGAGACCTCTAACTAAAAAAAGTATGGTTGGAATCAGCTGTTGTCCGAAATTAAGCAAACGATATGCTTTTTTAAATATTGTCGGCAAAAGGGACAATTTTCTCAAGTTTATAAGCAGGAGCCCATCTTATATGAGTTTTTAAAATCATTATCAATATTGTTCCAATGGCTCCAGAAATAGCCCAGCCACAGATGTTTACTGATATAGAATAACGGTTGACAGTTGGTAGCGAAAAGATCTACAATCTTCTTTTCAATTCAGAATTTATTTTTAATTATGTTGCCATCGAAAGTTTAATTAGCCTGAGCTTGTTGCTCAGTAGACTGGTTGGAGTTTTAAAGAAAACTTTCAGGAAGTTGTATTAAAAGGGAAGGAAACATCCGGGACAAAGCCGATTTCCTATATGCGAGAAAAATGGTATGGTTTCATAAGTCACCAGGAGAACTTGTAATAATTTAACAAATTTACATGACAGAATTCATATGGCTTACGATGTAAATTTTTCGTTTAATCTTGTTTCTGTATATGAGCAAAGATGATATCTCCGTTGCTTTAACCGACTTAAACGACCGCATACACTCTGTGCTTCGGCGAGGCCATCTATTCGAAATGTAACCATCGCTGAGCAACAAAATTCAGTCCCCGCCGTGAAACCAAAGTACATGTGATATGACTATCAAAGAAGAACAAAAGGACGAAAGAGGAAAAAAGAATAAACATCGGTTTCGATGAACCGTATCCCTGAAGTTTTTTTAAGAAAAGGATAATTTCTCTTTCTCTAACCAATCTTTGGCTCTGAGCAGTTCTCGGAGGGCTACCTATAGTCTCAATAGACAAAACAAAGCTGATTACTAACAAGTAACTTTCATTTACTTTCTTTAGCTTAACTTCCTTTACTGAGTTGGATCTAGTTTTCCATGAGGAACAGATCCAAAAGATTTATCCCACAGTAAAAGCTCCTTTCTTATTCGCTCATTAATTTTTTTCGTGTCTTTATTTTGTATTTTTTTTTTTTATTAAAGCTGTAAGCAAAGTTGAATCCGATTCTCTTTCCCTCAGTAACTAAATTTAAGTAGCTCGGTACCTGTGTTCCATTCATTGTTGCGGTCACGTTCGTCGACATTCAGCCAACAACTCTGAACGCTATCTTTTTTAAAGTGAACGCAGTGATGATTTGCGTAGATATTATTATTGTTCTAAAATGCATACGTTAGCTTCTCGAAAAATTCAAGAATATCGACAGATGTACCCTGAACCTTCATTTTGATCAGTAAAAGTATCTACAATTGCAGTTGCCTGAGATGAAAGAGTTGGGAATGATCTCATTTGGATAATTGTACTTTAAACTGAGAAATATCATTGGCCTTAGGAACACGCATTATAAATTTGTGCTTCAGTCACTTGATGATAATTGTTGTGGTTGTTTCTTGATCGCTTGTTTGCATACTATTTTCGTAACAGACGATTGACGGATATAAGTTTCCCATCCACGACGAGTCGTGAAAAACTAATATCAGCTAACAGAAAGCGAGGAATGTGTCAAGTTATGGGAATCTTTTTTCTTTTGTGCACGAAAACGGCATGGTAATTGAGGGACGGAAAACGGGGAAAAAGGAAGTTTAAACGAAAGTTGGCTGTTTCCTTCCCCTGCTAGACGTGATCTGAA